GTGCTATTGTAAGGCAACAATCAGGCTCTCAAAAAATTCATTACCAGGAGAATACTGGGTATAATAACTACAAAAATCAGGATTAATAATATTTTGAAGCGATGGGGAACAGTTGCCCTGGAACAAAAGCTCTAATGAGGACTCAGCCATTCTGTCTTTAATATCCAACTCCCTCTATTGTCAAAAAGCAAACATCCAAAAGAGGGAAGAGTCAGGTGTGTATGGTAGTAATAGTTTAACATATGGTTTAAGGGTCAAGGGTAGTGACCACCCTGGTGCTAGGAATCAGGTGTCTGAAATAATCCCATGTTGTGTCAGTGTGTTAATGCCTGTCAGAATGCCAGGGGATATAAGTCAATCAAATATTGAATAGAATCCTTGACTTGATGGATGCCTCAATGAAGGAATTTTGGCAGCCTACGGAAATGGTCTATTCCTGCCTTTTCCAAGGATATTTGTGGTTTGCTCCTTATTTTAACCTTCCAATGCTATTCTTTGCATTTCTATTCATTTTTCATGTACCTTTGTCCTCAACACACACACACACACACACACACACACACACACACACACACACAAAATAAAATGATTTCTGCTTTTCCCCCACTTGTTAACCTAGCCTGAGACTGTATGACCAAGGACCAAGCAGATGAATAGAAAGGGGTGGTGCTGAAAGAACAGTCAATTTTACATGCCCAAACTGCTGTTGAGTCTTGCAAAGGAACTGCTATTATCTTTCCTAGAATAATACTGGGCTAAAACTGGCTTTTTTTGCACTTGTATTATTTTGACTTAAATGCACCAAAGTGGATACTGGCACTCCTTACCGTTAGAAGAGAAATGGATATAACACTGTCTTGTAGTTTCCCTGTCACAATAAATACCTTCCCTATCATAATAAAAAGTGTTAGGGAGAAGCCTTGATTGATGAAAGGCAGAAGAAGTACTAGATGTCTACGATCTGACATGGTGAATGGGAGATTGACCTTGGGACAGAAGAGGAGTAAAGGGTAAAGAGCAGGAATTAACAGGTAAAATGGAAGAAAGAAAAAATAGACCTTCCCGTGGCTGTGACAAAGTTTAAGCCTATTCATCCATGCAAATGATAAAAGAATGAAGGTAAATCTAAAAGCATGATCTGTACTAGGATGAAAGATTGGGAGCGTTACTGTAAGCTATTAAGGATGATGAGAGAGTCTGAATATGGGCTGTAGAATTTTTGGTAGTGTCAAATGTCGAACTTTGGAAAAATAGAATTGGAAAAAAGAAAAACTGGGCTGTAGGGGAAGCCTATGGGAATTGGATAGTTACTTAGGAACTATGAGCTGTCCCCTTAAGGGAATGCATCATGGTAAATGTAGTTAAAGGTATCCTGGGAAATGCAGTTCATGTCACGTGGCCACATCTGTAATCCTGATTGGTCACTAAATTGACCCTCGAGGGGTTGGAGGAAGTTTTCCTCATTCTTTGTCTGAACTCTTTAACTCATGGCACCTTCTTTCTATCGCTACGAGATGGGTTAGGAGATAACCATCTTTTACCACAAGGCAGATATACAAAGGATTAGTCATAAAAGAAGAACTTCGTAACAAACCTGAGTTATGAGGATACCTGATGAACCAATAAATGTTCTTTGTTATGAACGTCTTGTTGAGTTATCTATCTGCATCTGTACAGTTTATGAATCCACCTCTGTACAAGATACAGAAAAAAAAACAGTGAACAAAATGACAGCAAAAGGAGAACGGTTGCAAGAAGGAAAACAAATGAAGTTTATCTGGAAACTGGGAAGACAGGTTTAAGTTAATCCTTTCCTCATTGAGCTCATTACGTGATTTGGGACCAGTCAATATCTTTTATCTAATAGGCTGCTTGTTGTATGAAAAATGGAACAAGAACTTGCTATGAACACTTACTTGAATGCTGGGAAAAGAAGCAGAATAAGTAAATATTCAGTCCAGGAGATAAAACTCATAACAGCTAATTAGCAATATATTTCCAGGAGATAGCAGTGTTGGAAATAATAATTGTGTCCCGTTCCTTGCTGATAAACTTGATAAAGTTTATCAGGAAATTCCCTCCTGATCTCTTAGCGGAAATGAAAGCAGCAGTGAATAACTGCAAGTAGTATTCTTGGCACAACATCTATCCCTGTGCAAGCAATGCCTTCATAATGCAGACACTTTCCTTTCAAGAGGAAACTTGTAAAAATTAGGATGGAATCTCCTTTTGACATTACAAGCACTAAATTAATTCAGATCAAAGTATTAGCATAAAGCATGAACTTTCATAGACAATGGGCCTTTCCCTTTTTGTGTTTACCACTTATTTATTTATTTATTCAATTTATAACTTGGACTTGCCTGGGTAATGATGTCTTTCTGTCATGTCCTCATGATGCCACATTGATCTTGACCCCACCCATACCAGAGACACCTTCAAGCCTTTTTTAACTATTCTAATTATGATGTAATATCCCCCCTCCTGAAGTAACCAACAGCATATAGCAATTTTACCATTGACCCCTGAGAGTGAGGCCAGCCCAGTCTAACCATTTGAGACTGGTGCAGCTACATCAGCTCTCCCCCTGTCACAGGGTGTTATCTTCTAGGGCAGGGGTATCAAACTCAATTTCATTGAGGGCTTGTGGTTGATCTCAGCTGTGGTTGACCTCAGGGGGCCAGCTCAGCATGGTTGACTGGGTGAGCATGGCCAGGTTGACACCACTTACGGGGCATGGTTGACAGTGCGGGTGTGGCCAACTGGGTGGACACCACTCCCCAAACTGATGGCATGTTTCCTCTTCATACTGGGTAGACTGGGCCAAAGCCATGCTGGCCCGATGTTTCCTCTTCACATTGGGTAGATGGGCTGAAGCAACATGGGCTGGCTCCTACATTTACCAGGATGGCCTCGCGGGCCGGATCTGACCACATTGGGGCTGAATGTGGCCTGCGGACCTTGTGTTTGACACCCCTGGTCAAGGGCCACGCTATTTAGACACAAGGAGAGTTGTACTCTTTTAAACATACCTGCACTTTGTATTTCCAGACATGCTTTAATGAACCATTCCTTCCTTTTTACCACACGTCTACCAAATATCGCCCAGCAAAATCTGGGTTTCCTCCCCCCACATGCCCCAAATGAGCAATGACGCTGCCTCAAATGGAGTAGTATTTTTAGTTTTATAAAAGGCAAGATTTTGATGTGGGGAGCAATAGGTGGTGTAGTAAGTCTCTCAGAGGTCATCACAGAGTCACTAAGGAGGTCACATTTCAAAAGAAAAGATTTTTTACAATGAATCTTAGAAACCATTTCTTATTGCTGCCATTGACGTTTCCAAGTGCTTTCCCCCATCACTTTTAAAGTTATCACATAGTATTATATGCTAGGACAGTTCATTTCACACATGCGATCAGTTTTTTAGCACTAGTTAAAAGATCAATGTAAAAGTTAGTACTACAATGGAGTTAACTGAAGAATTATAGCAGCTTCAGAAATCTCTGGTTGAAATTAACTTTCTTATTCAGTGCAGCTATGTCACACTTACTGGTGTTAAACACAAATAAAGTGCCTACGCTTGTTATTGTAGGAAGTCAGTTGGAATTTTTCTTATAATTACAACAAACCTCTTGTAAAAATTAGGTTTGTGGGCCACCCACGACTTCATTAATAATGTTTTATGTTGCGCTTTTATGAGAAGGGACAGAGAGTTGAAATTCAACTCTGAATTCCTGAAAAAAAATTACAGATGGATTTTGAAATTCATTAGATATTTTCTATAGGCTAGTGTCTTAATTAGTAATGTAGGCTAGAATCTTGTTTTTAAAATCAAATAAACAGTTGCACTGCTTATAAAAGAAAATGTGCAGTTACATTTGCCGTATAGTTCTCCATACTATTTCAGAATGTCAAGCTATATACAACTAACTGAAGACTGAGTGAACAGTAAACTGAGAATAAACTATTGAACACAATGAGTAGGACATCCCAGCAGTCATGAGTCTTATTACATAGTAACTGTCTGAAAGGATCCATTTTAATTGCCTCAAATATCATTGAGCTGGAAGGAGAAAGTCACAGCTGGTGTAGTAATTAAAATAACAAATAGTCTAGTGCTTCAATAATAGAGGGAAATTGTTGGACCCCAACAGAAATCTATAATCCATATTTTCTAACTGCCTGCATTAGCCAACTTCCTAAAGGAGAACAGTTTATGTAAGCATGAGCTTACTGTTTTCTATGTCTGAGGTCATCCAACCCAAATTGCTATAATGCAAAATCTAAATAAATCATACCTGATATGGTTAAGTTAAGTCACACAAGTTACTCACAAAGAACTGGTGTCTCGCAACCAGTTTCTCGTAAATGACAAAGTATACACCCTGCAGCCTAATATGTAGTATAAAATTAGCCTTTGTATCGTATGGATAGTTGTGATTTTCTTAGCAAGACTATAGAAGTAGTTCAGTCTTTCAAGTTAACTAGGTTGAAAAACAGACTGCATGAAATATTAGAATTTGGTTATTATACCAGTAGAATATAATAAGAGAATCTTGAAAGCCAGACAAAGATTTTCACCCTCCTCTATTATACTAAAAAGAATCAAGGTAGGGCAACCTTGAACTTTTTCCTCACCTCTTCTTGTTAATTGGAGTTGAAGTGATGCTTAGATAAGGATTCTTGAATTCCTCTTTCAAGACCATATCTGTGTACCTATACAGTGATTCCCATCACCTTCTTCCAAGATTTTAGCAGTGTCCCAATTCTCTAGCTTATTAGAGCCTTTATGCGAAGCAATCAAGATATCTCACTGAAGGCAATGAAATTTCATTTCATCCTATCCCACTCATTATTTGGTTAATGCTTTGTTTTTTAAATTTCTTCTACAGGAATTGAAAGATACTAGAAAAAGACACAGCCCTATTGACATGCAAGCTAGGCATCCCCCCAGCATTTCTTGTTAAAGGCCAGGCTGCCTGGAAATAGACTTCCTCAGAATGATGGTAAACAGAACTAGGATTAACTCTACTCATGGACTTGATGCTTTTGGAGTATCTCAGTTCCAGGAGGCTGTTGGTGTTTTCTTCATGGTTATGCTGAGTGTCATTGCTTTGGTTGCCAACACAGCAGTTATGGTTGTTATTCTCAAAACACCTCTCCTGAGGAAATTCATCTTTGTCTGCCATCTCTGCCTGGTAGATCTGTTGTCAGCAATTTTCATCATGCCCCTGGGGATCATCTCCAGTTCCACGTGCTTCAACAGAATTTTGTACAGCATCGCTGAGTGCCAAACACTGATCTTCTTGAATGTTTGCTTCATCAGTGCTTCCATCCTCACCATCTCTGTGATCAGCATTGAACGATACTACTACATTGTCCATCCTATGAGATATGAAGTCAAAATGACCACTGGGCTGGCCGTTACTGTGGTGGTGTTCATTTGGATTAAGTCTATGCTGGTTGCTGCCCTGGCATTAGTAGGCTGGCCCCAAGACAATGGTGCAAGCAGCGCCAGTAAATGCACTGTTAACTGGAGCCCTGGAGCCCACAAGAAGATTTTTGTGATAATCTTCAGCCTTCTCTGCTTCATAGTGCCCAGTTTAATTATCTTTGCTGTATATGGTAGCATCTACAAAGTGGCCCGCATTGCATCCTTGCAGCACATTCCTGTCCCATCCTGGACAGCTGCACCCAGACAAAGGTCAGAGTCCATCCATAGTCAAGTCACCATCATCACGACCAGGAATGTGCCTCCTAGGGTGTCCCCTGAACGCCTTTTTGGTGGCAATAAAGCAGCCCTGACCTTGGTGCTAATCGTAGGCCAGTTTTTCTGCTGCTGGCTTCCTTTTTTCTCCTTCCACCTCCACTGCTCCTTCCATTCTTCCCCTTCGGTCCCAGATTCCATTGAAATAGTTGTGACCTGGCTCGCCTATTCTTCCTTTGCGATCAACCCTTTCTTCTATGGATTGCTAAACCGTCAAATCAGGGAAGAGTTGGCCAAGATGGGACGACACTGCCTGAGCAAGCCTCTGAACCAGGACTTTTGTATCTCCAGCCCAGAAGGCTCTATTCATGAGAACTTCCTCCAGTTCCTTCAAAGGACGAGTTGCACATTTGAGAACCATTCCAGCTATGCTAATTCCAGCCCCAGGAACACTTTGGACCAAACTACTTTGGGATTCAGAATCCCAGGACAAATCCCAGAAGAAACCAACTGAAGAGAGAATGCTGTGTTGTGTCTTTTGTCATTTCCCTATTTCTTTCTTCCTGACTTGGCATTTATCTTCTCCTGCACTGAAAATACTGAACAAGCTTTCCTTATGGGAAGGATTGTCAGCTGAGCAATGGCTTTCTGTTAAGTATAAATGGAAATGTATTACAGGAGTTGTCAGCATCCTCTTTCTTTCCAGTGGCTAGCAAGAGTGTTAAGTGATGACTCAGAAGTATCAGTCGTACTAATAAGCAATTGTACTGAACTCACTATGATAGCTATGTGCAGAGACCTGTCACCTTAACAATACTTGCAGAGGCTCTAGAGAAAATATTATATGTGCGGGGGAGGAGGGTGTCAGAAAATCCTCCAGAGTGCTTTCCTAAAATACAATTAATCCCAAATCAGCACCAAGGGTGGTCTTTCTTCCTATTCACGTAGTGTAATGGGCAGATTTAGTTTTATAATGCAGTGCTTGCTTGCTTTGTATGCTTAAGGCAAAGTCGCTTTGTCCTTAAGAAAATAATATGTGCCCCAATGCTGTGGAACAGAATTGCCCAGTCTCCAAAAATACAGTGATAGACTGCTTTGACTTCTTTAGTATGACGAAGGGGAGAAGACAGACTTGTGGATATGATTACGGTCAATGTCACCGATAAAACAGCTATTCTTGCTCCCATAGTTGAAGAAGAAAAGTATAAAGTTGTAATTTTCAATAATTTGGTGCTGTAGAGAGAACATTCAGATTTGGGAAAGAATTCAGAAGAATAAGATAATGTTCTCTGAATGACATTCAGCATATAAGAACTACTGTCTGTTTTTTGTACAATAATAACTTGGAAAAAGTTCTAATACAGAGGTTTATAATAAAAAGCAGAAACCTTTACACTTGTGGTTCTTGAACTTTTTAAACTGCAGAAAACTTCTGTGTCAATTCTATTTTTTCCCCATTCAGAACTAATCCTGAAGAAAAGTAAAATAAGACAACCTTGAAAAAAGATCTCTTGAGAATTAATTCCATTTCTTTTGAAAAACCGTTTCACAAATCCAAACTGCCATCCTATATCCTAAGTTTTTCACCTCCCCTCCAAATCGCAGGTTAATCTAGACTGCCTATGAATGAAGACAGAAGGCAGAAATCGTCATACTGCAAAGAAAGATTGGACCCCTTCGATTATTGTGTTGGTTGTTTCAAATAAGCAACTATTGGCATTCTTAGATTTGTATGGGTGACAGGCGGTAACTGCCACTTTCCAAGGCAGAGAGGAACTGTTAATAATTACAAGCCTTTTTAAAAGTAGTATATTCTGTGCAATTTTTTATTTTAGGTAAACTTCTTAACTTTTTAAGCACAGTAGTCACCTACATCTATATCTTAATGCAGACTTCTAGGCAAATGCCCTTGAAAAAGTGAAACTCAGTATATGTAAGCAGGAACCAAATAATGAACAACTCTCCATCTTGATCTCACCACTTATATGTCACATCAAACCAATCAAGGGCGTATTTTCCAGTGCCAGCTCAAGGGTATGTGATGACCCTAGGCCACATTGAGTGATGCCTCCATTCCTATTGATGCAAATATTTGCATTTTTTTAAATATGGGAATGGGAAGGAGGCACTCTCTTATCTTAAAGCAAGCTCTGGTGCTTTCTTTTCAGATTAATGCCAACTCACTTGGAATGCCTTTTGGCACAAAGGAAGTGCATCATTTTAACCTACTCTTTTGAGCCATTTAATCACTCCCAACTTTGTGTCTATTTTAACTCTTATTTTTCCAGATGCACTAAGATAGACATTCCAAATTAGAGCCGCTCTTACCGAGGATCCAAGATCTAGAACGTGTTATGTGTATCTTAACAATTCTTTGTTAATACAGTACAAGCAAAAACTTGGAGAGATTTTTGAGCAGTTCTGTTCGATTTTTCTGTCTCTGAAGGAGCTTTGTATTAGAAGAGTGAGCTGTGCAAAAGCAGACTTTTAAGTATCAAATTGATGTGAATGTAGAATTGTCACTCTAGTGGGAACCTCCAGCCACATCACTGAGACTCATTCAAACTGTACTGACCTATTTGATGAATCCTTTGATGTCTATAGGGAGGGACAGCCTTGCCAGGGCATCAGTGGTGGCATGCCAACTGCCCATCATTTGGCCCAGATCTGGTTCTATTGTGGTCCTTTTTCCACTCGTGGGATAAATTTAGATGAGAATAAAAGGAGTAAATACATCTCCCAGTACTTACTGAGTCTAGCTTCATTATAAGAAGTAGATTTGATCAGCAGAGTTTGTTATTAGAGTTTGCAGGAGAAATTCAAGTCCAGAAAACACACAGATGACTGATTCAGCAGGATCATTAACTTCTTTATAAACATATTAACATATTGAAGTAAAGTTTACAATACCAGTAGTTTCTTTCAACGTAACATAAGCACAAACAGCAAGCAGCAGCAGCTCAAAGCAGCTATCAGTTTCAGTTTTGAATTCTCAGCAAAGCACACAGAGCCAAACCATACCCAGGATGTCAGCTCCCATTGGCCGGTCTGTTGCCATGCTTACTCACTTGCTGACTTTGTTAACTATGTCTCTACCAGTTAATGAATCCACTCTGACAGAGTTGGTGCTGCTCAGAAGCAGGGTGAAAAATATGGACGGACATCAGATCACGAGTAGGGTTTATCTTGCTATTCCATTGAGCCCTGGTGGCTCAGTGGTTAGAATGACGAACTGCAGGCTGCTTCTGCTGACTGCCTGCAATTTGGCAGTTCGAACCTTACCAGAGTCCATGTTGCCATCTTACCAGCCTTCCATCCTTCCGAGGTTGGTAAAATGAGGACCCAGATTGTTGGGGGCAATAGGCTGACTCTGTAAACTGCTTAGAGAGGACTGTAAAGCACGGTGAAGCGGTATCTAAATCTAAGTGCTATTGCCAGTGCTATTCCTTCTGCAGTTTCCTCTGTGCTTGTACCCAGCTTGGTGTCCCATTTATGAGCCAAGGATCATAGGACTGCCTCTTCTGCTTTCTCTGTCTGTGACCCAAATACTTTACTTCCTTGGTCATAGAAATGCATAAAGGATATAAAGAGCTACGGAAGATACAGGTAGAGCTGGATTTACAACCATTTCCTTAGTGGCCGTTCACAAGTTATGACACTGAAAAAAGCGACTTATGGCTGTTTTTCAGTCTTATGACCATTGCAGCATCCCCATGGTCATGTGATCACAATTCAGCCGCTTGGCAACTGGTTCCTATTGATGAAGGGTGCAGTGTCCTGAGGTCATGTGATTGATCCCCTTTTGCGACCTTCTGACAAGTCAAGTCAATTAAGCCAGATGTCAGCGTTCCAGGGAACCTCCATTCCAATCAGTAACTCCGAGACAAGCGTAATCTCAAGAGTACCTTTATTAGAATAGCACCTGGCACATCTGTGGAATCTCGAAGCTAAAAGTTTCCTGGACATCCCACAATGTCCCAAACTACAACCCATCCCCCCTTTCTCCCATCATCATATCACATGGACCAATCACGATCTCTCCCAGTGTAAGATCCTTTTTCTCTGCTGCGCCACACTTAATAACCTTGAACTAAGGAAATAATTTTATTTTGTCTACTTAGAACTACTCAGTTGAAATCACACACCCCTCCCAACTTCTCAGGCTATGTGGCAGCGTGGAATATGGCTTCCAAAGCTGACACCAGAGTCACTTAATAACCAGGTTACTAACTTGACAACTGCAGTGATTTGCTTAACCATGGTGGCAAGAAAGATCGTAAAATGGGGCAAAACTCACTTAATAACTCTTGCTTAGCGACAGAAATTTTGGACTCAAACTGTGGCCGTAAGTCGAGGACTATCTGTATAGTATCCTTTTATAAAAACGTAAAAAAGTATCATTTTTAAGGATACTTTTTAAAAAAAGAAAATAGATTCTCTCCCTTTCTTAGAGTTGGCAACTCTACTGGCATCTGCTTGTCTAAGAGAGTAGATTCTTTTAATCTGAAGAGGGCAGGGAATAAACCCAGACTGCCTTCATACACAGTGGGTGGCTCTGTCAGGACCAGTAGAGTTCTGTCTCTTATTTAATACCACTATGATTGCAGTGTTCTGACCCAAATCTTGTTCCAAGGAAACAAATACCAAACAGGGGTAAAAGCAAAACCTTTTAATGCTTCTTTGCAAATTCCGTTCATTCACATTTAAAAGAAAACTATGAAAACTAATTGTCTCTGATAAGAACGAGCCTTGCCAAGGTTGTGCAAGGCTGCCAAGAACACTAGATTAAGTTGCCAAGAAATATTCAAAACAAAAAGTCTCCAAACACAAACCAGGATAGTCCGAATGTCCACAAAGCTTGAAGAGCACGAACTTCTTTGCTTCCTGCAAAGAATCCCAGTCTCTCAGGCTGGCTTTTATCTCTTAAGGGAGAGGCCATTACTTTGCAGCCTTAATCCTGAGTCACCCATGCTGCTGCAGCTGCTCTCTCCCTTGAACAGCCCTGCGCACATGCGCACTGGGCACAGGCTCCTCAGGGACCTCTTCATCACTGCTGCCAGCCTGCACAGTCTCCAAAGGCAACATTCCTGGCCCCATCCCTGCATCACACGAGGCCCCTCATCCAAGGCCTCGCTCTCCAAGGCCTCAGCCGTCTGCACCTGCTGCCGGCGAACCATAACAAGTGGTGGCTGCAAAAGAATTGTAGTTGGGGAAGTCCAAGGACTTTTGAAAAAGGAGCTTTGGCAGCCTCCATCAAAGTAACAAAATGGTTGCAAACAGCAGCTGTATGAGTGGTGAAAGATCCTCTCTTATGGCCTTTTAGCGTTGGAAAGCACAGGAAGGAAAGTTGTTTCTTCCTTCTCCAAAGTCGTTCAAGAGTGGACTGGAAATGGAGAGGCTGCTTCTGTTTTATCTCAGTTCAAAACAGAAGTGTTTGGGGAAGGGGGTCTCTCACAAAGAAAACTTACAAAAGATATGGAAATGGGATGCCGGGGGCATTTTTTTTTTAAATTT